TCCAGCTTCCCTCCTGTTCTACACCCACCATTGGAGCGTACCCACCAAACTTTGCTCAAAGAAATTGCCAATTATGTTTGCACGCTCACCTAAACTATTTTAGAAGCAGTCATATTTTAGCATTCTACTAAAAACTGTATTGAAACATGCTTTCCCATCTGAGAATGACAAGTATATGCAAAAGCCTTGTAGGATATTTACATACCACCATATCTGTTGAGAAGAATCAAAATGGTATTGACACAACAACTATAAGATACTTTGCCAAATGGTTAATACTGAAGCTCTGTTTGCTCATTAAACTCCACAGATATTTAGAAGAAACACAGTTAAGTAGAAATGTATAAAACGCTGCAGGTAAAAGGAAATAAATCCAGTTGAAAGATATGAGAAATTGCCCTAACAAAAGTTTATATTAACTTTCTTCTTTGCCAATGAGAACAGAAAATAAGAGTTAACTGCCTGTTACAGTGACATGATGGTAGCATTGAGTGTCATCCTGAAGAAAACCTGAGCTTGGAGCAACCTCAGATGACTCATCCGTCAGATGGTGGAGACTAGGAGAAAAATGAAAGCAATGTTTTTACTTCCTGGGATAGGCTTAGTAGCTTAGAACATCGCTTCTCACACCCTGCCTGCTGCTCCATAAGATAATACCTATGACTGTCCTTAGGATGACAACACATCCTATTGTTTTGCAGAAAACAAGGTTCTCCAAAAAGAATCAGTTTCTGAGGGGTGAAGAGGAAAATCAGGGCTGAAGAAAGCAGCAATAGGTATCTTGGAATAAGGAGACAAAAACCAAACATTTACAAAAACACTTTGTAAAAAAGCTTAAGGACAAGCAACCAGCATTTTAAAAAACCAAACTGGCATTGGCAACAAGTATTTAACATTTTAAATACTTACTGTAATAGCATGGGATGGTCCCATATGTTGCACATGAAGGCCTGGGGAATTGTAGTAAGACATTCCAGCTCTAGTCAGTGAAGTTGGTGGTGTGAAACCAACTGTGTGACTTGCATATGACAGACCTAAAAATTGTTAAAACAAGGTATCATCAACGTTCTTGTTTATACTACAAACTACACTGTGAGGTTTTATTGAATTTCTTAGTTCTGGATCAATGATAGGTTAAGAAATGGTAACTGCTGCTAGATTAGAAATCTAAAAAGCATTCATTGTACTGAAAAGCATGATGTAAAATTATTTTCCTGTAATAAACCACCATACGTTTCAAAAAATACATTACACAATGTTAGGCATAACTTTTCAGTTAACATAAACAGTGTAAGGCTCCCCTGCCAGCTTAGTTTTAGCCCACCAGTGTTTCCACCCAGCCTTCCATTTCTCCTCGGAGGAATTGCCTCCCTGAACAAAACACAGTCTGAAGAGGCAGAGAGGTTGTGTCTGGAGAAGCCATCTAGCATCAGGCCACTATGGGTGTCTGCAAAGGAGGTGGCTCCTCCAAGGCACACCACAACCAGGCTTCCTCCTGTTTTGCCTCAGTGTTTATAGGTAATGGACCCAAAGATCTTCAGGGCTGTGAAGTTAAAACATTCTGGGATTAGCTGCTAGCTGGACTAGGCTAGCAACTAACATTTCAAATTACAACTTGTTTTATCCACATTAAGGAAAGTCTAATATTCAGATGTACAAATATCTAATTCTTCCATCTAAATACTTCCTTTCTGTAAGAACTAATTCATAAAAGTGCAGAGTGCCCGTATAGCCAAGGTAAACAGAAACAGCAATTGCTAAGTGCTTAAAGCTCAGACCTTGAAGTGTTTTGAGTATTTCTGCATATTTCTCAGAGCAGTACATTTTCCAAAGCCTTTAGCTCATTATTGCTTTCTGACAAAAATATAAGTACAGTAAGAGACAAGACTTTTTTTAACTGTTTAGTATTAGACGTTAGCAAACGCTTTGGAGAATTATGACCAAAAAAATTTCTGAAGGTCTATTAAACTTTTATAACACCACACTTCTTCAACACTAAATCAATGCAAAACAGTGCCACTGGAGCTACAGTATCCACTAACACCCAGGTCTGTCTTTCACTGCATGTATCTGTGTTTCTGCATCTAACTGTGTATCTGTGTTTGTGCCTACAGTTGATGAGACAGGATCTTGGGGAAAACAGACCCAACAAAACCCAACCAAAAACCCAAGCCTCAGATCACTAATAACGTCATACAAGAAAACATATTCCTCTTGCTTCCTTCAATTCTAAGTTTGACTCTGCTACATCCCCAGTGTACGCCTATGGTGCAAATTACAAGTGACTCCAATGGAATCGCTGTCATTTTAGAGTAGTTAAACAATGCAGATTAACAAAATTAATCTGCTTTTTGGCTGCACAGTCTAATTGTCTGTACAGCCCATATCCTATAACTAAGTCCTTTTGTAAGCGCAAGGACAGAAACAAGTTAATGCTCAGGTAGGTGACAATGTGTTGCAAAAGTCAGGAACAAGAGCCCAGAACAATGAAAGTAAAAAAAGCCCACTTTGTCACTTCTGCAACATTACAGTGCTGGAGTGCTTTGGGATAAACTAGCTACAGCAGTTCTACAAACACAAGCCTACATGGCAGTCAAAGAAGCAGTAAGAGACTAATGCACGTACAACCAAGGGAGCTCATCTCTGCAGCCCAAAATCTTTATCTAGCCTAGCTGCAGAAGCAAAGCATAGAACAGTTCATCTACACTAAAAACTAATTGGTAATTACAGCAAATAATCCCCAGCTTCTTAGGAGTAGCAATACTTCCACAATCTTCAAGGTTCCACGCATTGTGTTAGAAATCTCAGTGATATCTCAGCTTGCAAGAGTCCTCAAAAGCAGCCTCTCAAGCCATGCAAGCACGAAAGGCTCTGGGATTTAGGAGTCAGAATCTGACCCATTAAACCTGACTTGCTGTCCATATGAAACTACAGCATTTCTAACTGGTTTCAGACTACGTTTCTACAAATTCAGGCACACCATTTCCCAAACGAAGCGTGCCAAGTCATGCAATCACTTGATGCGAAATATAACCGTTATATTAGTCTCTAATCAATGTCCAAGCACAATTTTGAGGGCTATTTTTCAGTCAATAAATGTGTTAACATAACTGTATTTTGTTTTACTAAAAAAAAATATATATTCAGTAATTAAAGACTCAGAAAAGGTTACTTTGCCTTTGTTATACAGAGTACTAGAGACAGGAATTCTTAGTTTTATAGTTATTGTTTTACAATAGAAAATAGCAGAAGTATAAAAGCCATTTTTCTGTTGAAGAGAGATGGAAAATTACTTTTTCTAAGTCATTCAAGATTAGACTTCTGTAAGAAGTTTTGATTCAGAGCACAATAGCAGTCCCATTATTAGTTCATCACCAAAGCCTAGAAATCTGTTTGAACTATGTATCCTGTTGGGCAATTTCTACGGAGGGGAAAAAATAAAAAGGAAGAGAGAGTAAGAGAGAAAAAGAGAGAGAAAAGAAAAAGAAATAAAAGTTCAAGAGATAACTACTTAAATGACCTTTAATATCTGTTCACAGTATAAAACAGAACCATCTGAAACCATGCTGCACCAGATGACACCTAAGGTAAAACTATTACATTTATGATGCAGATTTCTTTCTCCGGACTATCTCTGAAAGGCTGCTGACCTAAATATATTAATAGGGCACATTACTACATGATGCACACAATAATTTTAGAAACTGGGTTAAATATTTACCAGGTGATATAGGTCTGCTAGAACTTGGTGAGGGTGTATAAGGGATAGGACTGGACACAGTGCGAGGTCTTAATCCTTGTGCAGACATCTCATTGAAATACCTAATAGAAAAAAAAGTAAAGAATAATTAGATCAAAGCTTTTAAAATGTGACACGTTTTAAATGTTTCACTGTGGTGTTTTCAGTTCCTGTAAGAACCACATGAGATTACTGAACGACCAGTCACCTTTAGGAAGTCATGACAGGAACTCCTGTCATGCTGAAGGCTCAGATACTGGCTTAACTTTCACTGGAAATACATGAACTTAATCACTTGCAGTTAAAGTGTACAACTTGCACATGATCAGAACAGTACATATTAAGGCCAGAGGTAAAATCATGTCATCCAATCTGACCTATACTACATTCTTGCACAAATCTCTACACATTGAACTCAACAGATTGGCTGGCTGGAGTGTATCTTCCAGAAAGGCATTCAGCACTGATCTGAAATCATGAAAGGAGGGTAACAAAAAATTAAATCATTGAAGTACTGATAATTTGTATCAACAGCTGATCAGCCTCACAGTTAAAAACATGCTCTGTTTCCTACTTGAACCCCTGTGTTGTCAACATTCAGCCATCTGCACGTTGTGTCCTTTGCTACTGGAACAGAGACATTTTGAACCCAGGACTTTCTCCCACTAAAGATACTTCCAAGTTGTGTTGCAATACGCCTCCCACACTTCACTATGATAAACTGAACATAGTAGAACCTCAGGCAAAGCATTTTTCCCCATCTGTAATAATTGTATTGATTTATTTGCACCTTACTCACTGAATACAGTGAAGCTTATTCACAGCTATGAAGTGCTACGTAAAAGGAGATAAAAATAATACAAACTGCTCCTACTCGCCACTTACTGTTTGTATCTCGAAAGTAATTTTATGTATTTTTTCCACAGCACTAGGCTGGCAGCTTTCAGGTTTACTTGCTTATGCACCTTCCACCTTGATTTTTCAGTCACTGTCTAGATTAGAGGTTCCCCCGCTCACCTCCTCCTCCACATATTGTTGCAAATCAGTGCACTTGGGTTTACATTATTACATTTAGCTGTGTTTCTCTGCTGGACACAGCACAGCAGCTGGCAAAATTAGCTATGTAACAGCCCTCTGACTCTGACTTGTGTCCATTTCTGCCGCTGTGTCCTCAAAAACATTTAGTAGCTACGTTTATTTCCAGCATTAAAAATATTTCTATTTGATGGAACTCACAATGATGACTACTTTGAGGTCTGTGAATCAGTTCATAAACTATTTGAAACACACTTTGATACTGCATATTATTGATTTTTAACCAGGATATTCAGTTACAAAGACTTAACACCTAATACAGGCAGTACACTGTAGTGATACCAAAGCTGGTTTAAATTTGGGTAGATCAGGTAATAAAAGTAGCTGCAATAGAGAACAATAGGAAATTAATTTACAGGCACATTAAAGTTTAATTAAATATAAAAGTTTTCAAAAGAGCTACCAGTGACATGTTTAGGAAAACTGACCTGACCAGGCTACCTCTGCAACACACAGTAACTTGTAATGCAGACAGCACGTGTACGACAGCAAGGCAGCGTGGTCTTTGTGATTTCACTGTATTTTACTCCACATCAAGATAATTTTATGTACATCATCCTAGTACCTGGATCAGATGATATGGAATAGTAGGCATCCTGGTTTCAGATATTTCCCTGTTACTCCAGAGAACAGGATGGAGGGGATTGAGAAGACAAAGCTATTGCTAGTCAGGAAGAAGTAGTTTTGGGAGAGCTGTATATTTTGCATTCAGAAAAACACCTTCAACTACTTCCACCAACAAAAATTAAGTATCATCAGCTAACAAAATGCAACTGAAAAAAAAGGATATCTGATCCATCACCACCATCATTTTTATGAAGATAATGTAAGCTGACAAAAATTCACATTTTAAAGTCACCAATGCATGTAGTTCCACAATTACTTTGTCTACGCATTTCTCCTACAACTAACCTAATATCTGCTTTGTCCTTCCCTTTACTTTGCATTACTTGCACTGCAAACACCTGTTTTGGAGCAATTCTGTCACACCTTTGTAGTACCAAGAAAATGAATATGATGATGAAATTTCTTAGATGTACAGAGGAGTTAACCAAATTTTCTGGCATTTTATTCACTACTACTACCTACACCTCCTGGTCGATGAAAAAATTACTAGGATACTCTACATTTTTTGATTAATACTGGTAATTCACCTGGATTTAGATTTTGACTGTACTTCCAATACAATGTAAATACTGACAGAAAATATTAGGCTAATGAAAATAGATTCAAACACCAGAATCCTGTGTTTCAAACAGTTTAATTTATATAGCATTCACTATGTCTTAACAGCAAATTTACTGCGATATATGTCAGTTGCCTAGCACTTCATTAAAATGAAAACTCTACCTTGAACTTTAAGGGTGCTCCTTGAAACAAAATATCTGGTACTTTGTTTCTGGTAAATTATGGCTTATAACAAATACACTGATGACTCGAGAAGAAATATATCAGTATCAGAAGAATTCGTGGCACAGGGAAACTTGTTTTTTTAAGTATCACCATAAATCCAAAATAAAACAAAATAATGAGCAAGTAATAAGAAATAAGAATATTTTATTCAAAGTGTACAAAAAAAACCTCTTTCAAGATGTAACACTGTCATTTGACTATGACGGGAGAAAACTTTTAAAGACGTCACATAAAACCATGAAAAACTCAAGGCTATCTGGAAGGTCAGTGCAAGCAATGCAGCTTGCAGTGGAGAAGAAATAGTAATTAAAAAAAAAATAATCAAGGTTTGCACATCAAGAACAACCAAACAGGAACAGTTCTGGAAACGCTTCCCTGTCTAAGGCTTTACACAAGATCCTTTGGTGTTTGGCTGAACACATTTTACTCTCTGCAAAGGACAAATTAGCCCCAAGTAAGGACACTGTTCCTACCTCACAGGATTCCTTGCAGTTACCAAGTTAGGGGCAAAACAAAGATACTATGATCAAATTATCCTGAATCTCAACTCCACAGCTATGTTTATTTCAATACACATTATCAAAACCCTAAGCAATCTTCAGATACTAATATTTTCTTTCTCACTGTTAAAACTAATGCAATTTCTACACAAGTCTGATACAATTCTACTGAAGGTATTCCCAGACCATGCTGAAATTTGATACATATATTAGTCCATATACAGGTTATTTCTATACATACTAACTCTGTAATACTCAAAAAACCCAAGTCTGAGTATTGATTAATAAACTCAATGCCTACATATCTGGTTGGCTAGAAAATACAAACCTCTCGTCATCCATTTCTAAGCTGGATTCACTTTCTGACAGCTGCCTGCAGAGCGCTTCCCTACGTTCCATTTCCCTCTGTAATTTTCTTTGAAGTCTCAAGTTTTCTTCTCTCATATGTCGTTCCTCTTCTAAATATTGTGCCATCTTCTCTGAATCTGAAATTCAGACGTTTGTTAAAATTTGATTAAAATCCTATTTCCCAGACAGGCAAATACGTTGTGCCTAATTTTACTCTAGTACTTCAGGGATAGGGGTGTAGAAAATGCACAGGCTAGATCACTCAGAATTCTTATCTCTAAGTCATCAGTTCAAAGCTTAATTTGAAACTACTACTACTACTTAATTTGGTAGCTACTAAATATATAAATTCCTGGTTGACAGCAATTTTGGAAATAAAAGGTAAAAAAAGCAAAAAAAAATTATTTACTTAAATGAATTTGAAAAGAAAGGAAAAAAGGTCCAGAAGAAAATAATAAAACCAAAGCCATACAAAGAAGAAATACAATGATTCCTGCTCCATTAAAATAATGCAATTCCACGTTTACAAAGATTTTACTGCAACACACAGAAGAATTCTAAAGGCATACTACCATTCTGAGGGAGAAAGCACAAAACAAGTTCTGAATCCCAAACGCTCAAACTCATATTAAATCACCACCTTGCATGTATTCTATAGCATTCTTTCTACTATACATTTTATCATAGAGATTGGCCAGCAGGACAGGTACTGATATTAAAAGCCAACAAGTGGTTTACTCTTTCCATCAAAAGGCAATCTGAGTTTGCAATTCTAAACAAGTTCAGCAAACATTCACTTAAATGGTGTGGTATCACAGCCCATTTAAAGTGATAACAATAAAACTATGGAAAGCTACAAAGCATTTTGACAGATTATCTAAATAAAACGGAACAAATTATGAAAACTTATCACACACAACATATTTTGTGAGGTCTTCTGATGTTTGATCAAGTATACAGTTAATACCGTGATATTAAAAAAAATACAATTCATCATGCCTTGTGATCACTTCTTTATACAGCACCCTTCAATAAAAATAATACTGCTGTTTTAGAAAACTGTTCCCAAACTAACCAGCATACATGACTTCTCCCTCTTCTGTGGAAATAACACTTCTAAATCTAACAGTATCGCTTATTTAAAACTGTTATTGTAACAGAACAGTTACTGGATGAGAAGTAAGTGCTTCAGGAATACAAAACGTAATACCAGTATCACAATTTAGTAAGCAGACTTTATTATTTATGAGTAATACTAGAGGGTCTCTAGTGAACACATATTGCAAATACCAAACTGAAAACTGTATTTCAGTGTCATCTTCCACTTGCAGGCACATCCACCATTTCTATCAGTATTGCAATTCATATTGCAGCTTTGTTTAATCTGTTCACAGAAGGAAAGGGTACTTTTAAACCTAGATATTGTTTTCAACGAGAATTTCACTTTAACTGTCTCTAAACTTTTACTCTAAATCTCAATAATTCGAAGAAAAACCACTTAAAAATATTAAAGAATACTTAAAATGAAATTAGTTAGGCTGAATTTGTCCAAAGAGTACCTTAAATCTTGCCTTGCTCTCAAAGTTCAGTAAGTGAAGGTTGCGATGCAGAACTGGCAAGTACAAAGATTAGCAGTCCTTATCTCAACTGACACAGATTATTAATATCACAAACTTGCACAAAAAGACCTCTACAAAAGAGCACTTGTCCATCATCTCTGTCTTGAACGAAGGCTGTTGCCTCTGGCAAGCTGTTTCTCTAAATGCAGGTTGAAATATTCCAGTTAGCCTGCCAAGACCAGCACGCTAGAAGGGGACAATATTGCCTGTTTCCCACTCACTCAATTTTTTCTGTCTATATGCTGAGGTATCTACTTACCTAGCAGTTGAAATATAATTCTGCTGACTAGGATTTAGGCAGAACTGATGAAACTTGGAAAGACATTTTAGATTCAGCATGAAGGACTGGCATTACAAAGATCACAGGAAGGTGCAAGCAACCTTTCTGCCAGTTGAGACCATGCACTCAGAGCCGTAGCCCTTCCTCTAGAAAGGCAGGGCAAAAAACAGGCTTTCCACTTTTGGTCAAGGGTGCACGACGCTTTTCACAAAGGAAACACACAGCCTTCTAAACAATTATTTATTCGAAGAGGTACTACATAGGTAAGAACAAAATAAGATTACCTTTTCTGCTATATTGTGAAGCCAAATAGCTGCCTGTACACAGTCTAACACAGCTACAAACAATTATTTAAAAGTCGCTGCAGTCATTAACAAGTGAAATTCTTGTGTGCAACTGAACTTTATTTTGCTACCTGTTAATTCTTTCAAGTAATTCTTCATTTATAACAAGACTCTTACAAAGTAGGCCAAAAGTATGTTCTGAAGAATCTATTTGCTGAAATATTGCTAAGTCTCTGAAAAAAAAACATAGAAAGATAGAAACATTTTTTCTGGCTCAAAATATTCCAGAACTGTTTGTTGATTCTTCTAGACACCCTTCTAGGAAAGCTAAAACACCCTCAAACTGCAGTATAAATGCATCAGTGAGCAATAATACTGCAATTATGAAAATGTTTTAATCCAAACCCACCCTTTTTCCACTTCTAACTTAAACTAAAATGAAATCACATATATATA